ACATGGCTCAGAATCGATCACCATGGCGTAGGTGTATGCACTCGTTATCTTCCCTTAAACCTTGAGATTAAAATTGCTTCATAGCTTTCTTCCTTCCTATACTATATCCTTATATACAACCTTTCTTTTATATATTACCATCACTAAATTAACTATTTCTATGAATCCGGTGTTCATCTTGTTGTGCTGATGAGGCGTGGCAACTTGAAACGATGCATACATGTGCCTGATCCTACGTTGTAGCTTAAATATTTTTTGTAGAAAACTCAACATTGTTTATTTGGTCCCGGTTGTACTTAATTGCTTTATTGAGCGACTGAAATTCTATATTCAGGATTTGGTCTCTATTTTTAACAGTCTCAGTTAAGTGGTCTTAAACATTCTAGGCCACATGAAGAGAGAAAAATACGTAGGATTTTCACTACGCTACCTCTTTATTCTTTCAAACGAAATCGAAAGTAGGTTGGAAAAACAAGGAGACTATTCAAAGGAGTCATTGAAATCATGAACCGACCAATTTTAGAACACCACTGAAAACCTAGATGCACTGAACGTCCGTTTCGTCCCAGTATGGGACTCCCCAACAGTACAGGTTTGTAGCGATTGTTGGATTTATTTGAAACCATGTGCTTTTGAATAAATAACAAAATACATGGAGTTACTATCAAATTATAACGATCACACATACTATAAATAAGCCTCAAAACGAAAGAAATAGATTATTTTTGGCTCTGTAGATTTTAGTGAATTTTCGACGTGTTAGTTAATCGCCAGAAGCATAGAAATTATCCCCTTTTGCAGAAACTTTCAGTTTCACTAGCTTTTAGTTGTATATACGCAACATTCAGGTTTTACATACAGCTCTAGACATTAAGTTATGATCAAATGTTAGATGACCTGTTGAATGTGTGAAAAAACCTAACCAGATTTGATGGACATATTTAACCTACTTAATTCTCAATTTAAGTAGCAAAGCATATTATCCACAATTACTTCCAGTAACACTAGAAACTTCAGATTAGCATATGGAATGCTTAGTTTTTATTAAAGAGATCATTAGATGTCAAGTTGTATTACTTACATTGTCGATTTGGGTGTCATACCCCAATTATAGACTATGAATATATTTTATAATACTCAATTCATGGCAGAATATTATGAATATTCTAATATGTTTAAGCAAGTTGGAAAATTCTCCAAAGAATGTCTCTTACATATATTAAATTTATTGATTGGATCGAAGGAGATACTTTGAAAACATCTTGTGTAGGTTGGTTCTCTGGATATGACTCAAGATGAGAGAACACCTACAATGAAATTAATCAACAGAATAATCAAGAACAATTAGAACTCATTTTTTCTTCAGAAAATTAACTTAGTCCATCGGGTGTAGGCATGATATATCTTGTTTACCTACTTACTTACGTTTGCTATCCCTCGTGGGTTACAGGCTGCCAACCTAAACTACCAAATCAACCCTATTCTGGGCTCTCCTTCCCACTTGTTGGTAAGTGTTATTTATTCTGTTGGTGTCATGCAATTAGTTCCTTCAATAAATTTAAATGAAGCCAGAAAATATATGGATTCAGAATAATATGAATTCATTAAATCTCGAGGTTTCTCATCAGCTGCTTACAACAGACGCGACTAGGAAGCGTCTTTTAAAAAAGTTGAAAGAACTCTTGAAGAAAAATCTAATCAATCATACATACAATGAACTCAAACCAAAAAGAGTATATAATACCTTACTTATATGTCCTACCTAAAACACACACCCAACATCTTGATAAGACGAATCTTATCTATGGCCACATCACCTTTCCATAAACTTGCCCACTGGCTGTCTAGGTGTTTAGGACCGATCCGTATTTACAGATCCACAATAACTAAAATCCCATGTTTCAAGTGAAATATGACTTGTTGGTAGATTAGAGATGAACTTGATAGAGTGAACCTAAATCAAAACTTCGTCATATTGTAAATGGAAGAATTAATAAGTACAGGAAATTACATTCACCAAATTACTACTTAAATAATTCGTATGATAGTAGAAACAAATTCAACTATCGACTGAAATGTTCTCAATTCCATGAAAAGGTTTTACTGGTAAGTAGTTTATAAGAGAATGAAATGTTGACATGTGAGATATTCTTGAAGAGTATATTACTTACCAAGAAATTTAAATGATAGATTACATGCTTTGATTCAATGATCGAATCATTGCGATTAATAATTAGGAGATAAGAATCGAGGTGACGTAAATAAAGTGAAGCGATAATTCTAAGCACTATTTTAAACGGGAGCATTCAAAATATCATTTATAATCAGTTGAATAAACTAATTTTGGAAGTTCCACTATGGAATGACGTATTAGAAAGCACCGTACAGCCACAACATGATTTTCAATCATCGAAAATGGGACCGGACCCAGGATATTGGGAACTACTGGCTAGTGCGGTTTAGTTGAGTCACTGAACTAGAAACCAACAGCTCGTATCTCCTAGCTCTGATGACGATTCTGTAGTCAATCAGTAACTTTATGATCATATTGCATGATATTCGCATCGTTCTGTAAATTGACTGGAGTTGAAAGAGGTGGGGCATTGGATCTCGACTCAGTAGTATCATGACTATTACAACAACTGGATATCGTAAGATCAATGTCATTTGGTGTTGTGAGTGAACACCTCTGTGGAGCCATCAAACCATAGAATAAAAGTTGTTCAGTACTTCCTGGTTCTCGATAGAAACATTTATCAAATCACAAGAATCTTCTAATTAAAGCTGAGTAGAAAATAGTTTCCAATATATTGATTATTCTTTTGACTCTTTACTGAAACATCATAGGGAAATTATCTTCATAAAACATGAAATGTATTTTCCTACGATTGGTAAATACAGTACCTTTTAAATCGGTGTGAAATTTAATGCATAAACGAATGTCTTGTTAATTTCCAGAAGTCCTGAAATATACAAATAGATATACGTATATTCCTAAAGACTGATTTCAGACACCTTTTATTTTATGCTCAAACGAATTACTGGTCAATGATGTGATAAAATAAGTAGCAGAAAAAATATCATGCATATAGTAATCATGATCAACGGAGCCGGATTAAGAAAATAATATTGGAGGAATAACTTCTGAATTTTAAATTACATGTCATATTACTTTTCTAGTTATTTATAAGGATTGTACAAGATTTAAACGACCTACCTTTTTCACTTATAAAGAAAAGTATGATATTACACTACTTATAAGTAGTACGTTTTTACCATAAGAATGTTTTGCTTTGCAAAACCATGGTCAATCGAGTCACAAAAATGCGGACGTAATGAAGTCATCTTAGGGAAACTCTCCAGATCTTTGCGAATGAAATCCGATCTAGTATTATATTAAATGAATTATTCCTTAACAGTCTATAAAGTGTATACATCCCAGTTTGCAACATTTACATCTGATATACCATAACTGTTTATTTGGATTACTTGGTTCATGATAAGAGGACTGGCAATTTGAATTAATGTATACGAATATTTATTTGAACACAAATATTGGTAGAAAGGGGTACCAGATTTGTATTCACCACTAAAGAAAATGTCGTTTTATTTAGTTGTGTGAGGGCTATGATATTGCTCGGGTGTCCAGACCGAAACATGTGGTTTTTTAGGGGGCCACATCCCGAGCCTTCGACCTAAAGGTCTGATCTACAAGGCAGTAGAGCAACGCCAGGAGGTACAGTCCCATGGTAGCCGGTGACCAACGATTGGTTCATACGCCATTTGTTCCATCAGGATACTAGACCCCATGTGCACATTTGGTTTTGAATCAGGGTTTTCCAACTCCCCTAGGTGAACTCAGTGTGTCCAACAACCCGCTTAATGCGCCGGATATTCGCTTTTCGTACTCTCAATTTCGTAAACAACAGTAATGCCGCGAGAAAGCAGTGAGTAGGATCTCCCTGGCAGAGGTTGTATGCACGTGGCCATATGATAGAATTTCAAGAGGGAGGGTGGGCCCTCCCCACTCTCGGCCGTACCAGGGCATTTGGGGGATGTATACGAATATGCATGAAGCGATACCATATTAAAATAGAATTTGAAGATACAGTTGATAATTCGCTTAAAACAAATTTTAATTACTTTGGCGCTGGATATTTCATGAAAATATTTTCAAAGACAATTTTTAGGTTTTGACTGTGTAGAATGTGAAAGAACTTGGACTAAACCACTCGAAGTCATTTTGAAATGCAAGAAGTAAAGAAAAGTCTGGAATTCAGTAAATACTTGTCTAAAATCATTTTATTCAGAAAACAAGGAACAACAATATTGTACGATTATTAATCTCGAAACAACTTGCAGTATACTTCCTTGGTTACAATCTAAGAACAAGTTAGTGTACATACTCCTATCCTAAGGATTATCAATTAGTCTCATCAAAACAGTACAAACATCATTAATTGAAGTGCTGACTGATAGGTGTTCGAGTAGCTGAAAATGTATCAGTTGTTACTTTAATTTTAAATACGGAAATTCACTGGAATACTATTCACTGCTTCCTGTCGAATATTCTTATTAAATGTTTTCTTTCCTGATTAACAGTTCGAGGAGACTCTATTATCAACTGTAAGTACTTACTCTCAACTACTCAACGATTTAACTTCATAGCCTTTATGGCAGCATCGGTTTTACTGCATATTAGCTGGGGATATGATAGTATTATTATCATCATCATCCTAGATGTACCTTCCCCTATATTTACAACTCATCAAGTAAATATACAGCCACCTTTGTGTTGCCTATCTGGTTGAAATTTGAATACGGTGTTCAGTTCCAACAAATATTGGCTTGATACTAAGAAATCAATAACCTCTACGTTTATTATAGGATTTCTTATGGATTAGTGAAATTAAAGTGTACTACACAAGTTCGATAACGCAGCTCCATCCACATATTACATTTATTATGCACAATTAATTTTTCCCGATAAGAAGCGAACTGAAGATCTCAAAAATTATATTGAAATTCACTGAAGCAAATTAAAATAATCGTTAGAGAATATATATCGATTTAGATAATAAATAAGGTGATAAATTCGATAGGGGTGTAAAATATTTACAGACAATCGATTAACAGTTGGGAAAAGGAAGTAGACGATATTCTGCAGCACAATCCAAAAGCCAAGTACATGGTATCGATTGAAGAGGTGGTGGTAAGTCATCTGCCGATGAACTTAGTGTATTTGTAGATTTTTTCGGTTTGATCAAGCTAAGCGCTTTAGTAACAGTTTCTACAGCATATATGGATTTGTTAAATGATTCATTTTTAGGTTTACTCAAAACACCCGGATCATATAGAACAAGCAAGGAGGAAGGATTGTTCGAATCAATCATTGTGATTTCATCTATAAACGAAATGTTGTCATTATTCTCTTGATCAAACTCTTTATTCGCCTCTACGGTATTTAAGTCCCAAATAGATGAATTATTTGCAGCCTCAATTGCATATCTTGCAAGTCGAATTGGAGAGCAAACATCACGACTAAATACTACACTTGCTCCACCAGAACGTGCTAATCGAGTAAGCTCATCCCTGGATGGTACAGGATATACGAAATTCCCCTGCAGAAAAAGGACAATTAGGTATCACTTAATTTACAGAAGAAACTCAACAAGATATGATTATGTAAAACAATTCATCTAGTAACTTGTATGAAATTCATGGGCCAATATCTTTATTGAAACTAATTATCTCTCATGACACCACTTATTTGTTGCAAAAAACAAGCATATAATCTTCGGCATAAAATTCACTTTCTAAAAGGCGGGCAAAACTAACTGGTGTTGACTGTAAAATGTATATTAACTGAAAATGAAACATGATAAAGATTTGCGAATATAAATACCGCCTTTACAGAAAGCATGATCGATATACGTGCTAAATAAAGGGTAATTCACTCTAATTATTATTTAATTAAATTTACAACAATATTTCCTCATTTTTAAGACATAATTCAGTAAGATTAAAACACAACAATAGTGGAAACTCAACGACTACTAACAGATTGTCATGTGTTTTTGTACAAGGCAATAGAAATGTTAAACATCATTTTAGAGATGAAAATACAGATTAATCTTAAGAAATTTTGTATTATTAAGCCAATTTATTTATTATTACTCTTGGTCCAGTTATGATCCAGTGATTTAACCACTCGGTTTTACAAAAAATCTCGTGGCACAAACATTACTGCTTTGTTGGCATATTAATCCATAAATGTAAGAAAAAACACAGTTATGTTTACAAGTTGTCCTCATTAACAGTGCCTGTACGTTCACTGAAATAAACACATACACCGTTACTCTAGAGATTGTCTTCTACTACCAATAATACCAGTTTTTTTTAAACTAACATCATAACCGTCAAACAACAGATACAACGAAAGGATATATACACATATCGATCATTTTGTTTTTTAACCAAAGGGCGAGTTTACTGCACAGTAGTTCATTTATTTTTTTATGGGTGTGAAACATAGTCTTCAAAAATAATGATATTCGCAGGTCACTAGTATTCGACTATAGATGCCTCTGAACCATTGCCCATACATTTTGGGACTATTGAGTTAGAAATTCTGAGGTTAGACGCATAGTAGTAGGTAAATATGGCTAATCGACTGACGAGATAATGAATCCCTATCATTTGAGGTGGTTGGCACATGTACTACGTATTTCCATACACCAATTACCTCGATGCGGGATGATGGCTGACATAAGAATAGTTAGGAAGAAATATACGGGTGGCCAAACAAGACTCGAATTATATCTTAGACGCTTACATTTATAACACTATTACCAACATTATTACTTTGAGATTTGTCTTGAAAATTTCATCTCGTTATCCTGGTAGGGTATGGGAACTTGAACCGATGTACATATGTGCCAGGTCCTACGTTGCGTCTGACCCATATCATTCAACATTTGTTGGTTAATAACAGTAATTTAATTTAAAATTCCAGTCCTTATATATATCAAGAAAGTTTCCAAATACAAAAATAAAGTAAAACAAATGAAGTTTACTATTCACCTAATTTTTTTTCATGACAGTGGATTTTGATAAACAGAAATGAAGTCGATTATTCCATACTTTATACCAAGAATCTTTTGATTATAACTATTGTTATTTCGATGGGTTATTGTCGACTAAATAAACATGAAATTCAATTCACCTATTATTAAAAAAGGTAAAAGATGGAAACATACTAGGAAACAAATGTTTAAACCATGAAATAATCCCAAAGAACCAGCTTCACGAGCGAGACGTGCTCGACGAGGAGCACCGGACATAGGAGCAGTACTACATCCAGTTACTTCAAAGCCCTCTTCTTCTACACGCATCTTGATATGAGCACAAGTTTCAATCCAATCAAATGACAAGATCCAACATCCCTAAATAATATTAATAGGAAGAGATGACGGATTAAAAAAACATGAACAGATAAAGTGTGCCAAAATTAGGACGATTCAATCTATATGATTCATAAACTCCATGTAACTTACACTCAAATACCACTTAAGGTTATGTTTGAAGGTGGTCAACAGAAAAATACATCTCATTCCCAGCCTGAATAGCTGTCGTAACATCTCTGGTTGTGAAGCAGTGGCATGGGACCAAGCCCACGGGGAAGCATTAGTCCCCCTAAGACAGGGTTTGCCGTCGAATTCTTGCAACCATCACCTTACATCTCAGCATAGTACACGCAATGTCGAGTCGCCTAGATCAGTGACCACGTTGAAACTTAATTGACGGAATTCGATCAATACTAAGAAGGACAAGACATACTTGACATCGGTCACTCCCCAATTGCAAAGACTTGGATTTGGTGCATTACCACCCTATTTAATTGCCCAGATAGAAATAAAATGCATGATCTTGTAAGATAATAATGATAACAAAACCATTTTCTGTGAGTCTTAGTCCCAACTTCATATATATGAAAAAAAGTAATTTGGAAATATTCCAGAAATTTTGGACAACTACCAAATTTCTAAAGAAAAATACTCGAATTTCGGATAACCTGAAAGATGGTTCAGAAATCTCTTTTTGGAAAAACAGTGATAATACATAACTGAAAATACTTTGAACTGAAGAATAAGAATTTTCAAAAATGAAAACTTGCTAAGTACTTGCTTTGTCATGTCCTAGTGAAATAAAGGAAATTGCATAATTTGTTAGAAATCACTCAGAACCATGAAAAGTCTGTTCCCTTAGCTGCATAAGAATACGTTTGCTTGTTTGATAAAGAACTCATACAGGATACAGAAATATAGTTCTAAGAGTACAACTTTTCACATCAGATATACTTGACTGAACAATTTGAATGAACGTGAGTACCAAATAATTGGACAAAGATTTGTAGACGATGCAATACATTCGATTGCACCTACATGTGATACATGTGGTACAAAAGTATTGCTCTAAGGCTTGCAGAATTCAGTTACCAATACTAATTAACATGATATCCATGTTTGCAGAATCTAACAACATAATTCAGATTTTAAATACCGATATTAATACATAATATTGAAAAGTCAATAAATGAATCTCTGAAAATGTCCACTGTTTATGGTATATATATGTTGGAGAGTTAATCAATACGTCAACTTTTTAAGGTCATATTTTAAAATAAGTAGCCCACTATCAAACGTTGTAAAGTAATAATAAATGATAGAAAGATCAAAACTATTTCATTAAATAACCTGTAGAACAGCACTTAGAAACTTCAAAGTACGTGGACAAGTAGCTTGGCCATTGGAACTGAGTAATTCATTATCGTTTTTGAGTGAACGGGAATTTCTTTTAGATTTATTGTTCTTTTTTGTTTTATTGACTGATTCTTCATCGACTACATCGCTGGACAATTCTTGAAGTGCACCAGTCACGACATGTGTAACTTCAGGTGAGATTGATGAGAACACACGTGCATGTATCATAGTGGCAACACGATTGAACAGTGATTGTTGAGTTCTTGTTAGACCAGTACCCAGAAGAATAGGTCGAAGACGTCGTCTTTTAGTTTAAATAAACAGAAACATTCAAAGAATTGACTAAGGGGAATAACAATAAACATATGATAAAAATCTAAATTATGTTAGCAAATAAGAACACCCGATTAGATACTAATGCATTATTTTTAAATAATAGGTGAAAGACAATCCTCAAAAAATAACCATAATACGATTTTCTCTTATCACTAGTTTCAAAGATTTTAATTTATAGTACATACACAATAGTGAATACATTCTAGTCTAGATAATGCCTCAAATTACAAGTGAAGAGATTAAGTTTTTAGACGTCTCGAAGGAAGACTTTCTACCTTTAATATAAATGAAATCACAGTGATGATAGTTCCAAGCCATCCAAATTATTGGTCGCTGGAAATACAGTTCTATATACAGTTGAAAAGATATTACAATATATTCGGTGAAAATCAACAGTTAGCTTCCAAATAATTTAGGATCAATGACATTTACAAAGTTAACTGCACTAAACGTGAATAATCCATGAATTGGTCGATGCGAAATTCCCTACCACTAGGTATCAGTTTATTGTGTTACACATTTGGTCAATTACCACTGACTAGTTCAATGATCCCATTTTACATTAAGATCATGAAGGAAAACAAGTTTGGCTATTAAATGGGGTATGAATTCACAGACATACACAAATTATTTAATCCAGCTAAAAATAACGATACACTGAAATTAAATATGATGTTTACATAAACATTTTTAAACCCACCTTTCAATGAAAGTAGTTGCAGAAGAGACAGATAAAATACTTAAAGTTTTATTGTTAGTCACACAATCTTTATGTGATACAATGGTAGATAATGATGCTTTATTTAACATCTCTCTTATGTCAGATAATGCATTAAGAAGGAAATTATACTTTGATGATTTAGAATCTGAATTGTGTAGTTCTTTTAGTTGGCATATACTGTTATCCACTAGTTGTATTGGAATTATACCATTATTATTTGGAAACATAGGATTAGCACCATGGTCAAGCAACAGTTGACAGAAGTCAACTTGTCCATTTTGTATAGCTTCGTGCAAAGGAGTCTCTAAATCCGGACCACCAGGGATATCTACAGTAGCTCCAGCTTTGATCAAAGCTTTGGCGACCTTTAAAAAAAAACAAATGTATCAGTTAATTTTCATACATAAATAACAAGGAAACTCCAAATTAATGATAAATAATTGAAATTAGCTTGATACTTACTTCGCAGTGTCCACGTAACGCAGCTTCATGCAATGGTGTCCAACCAGCATGGTCTCGAATATTCGGTGATAACCCAGCAGAAAGTAACTCTTCTACTTGACTAATATCACCACGAATTGCTGCCCTATGTAGTTGGCTTTCACCTTTGCTATTTGGTCTTAGTTTGTGCAGTAAATTGAGAAATCCAGATGACTTACGATCCTGAACAGGAACAGCTTTCTTAACACTACTTTGGATTTTCTTAGAATTCTTCTTTGAAATACTTGAACCTTTTGAAGCTGCTGCTTTATTTTCGTCAGTTATTGGTAGATCGACAGGTGTAAGGAAGACAGACGTTTTAAATGAAATCGGATCAGACGGAGATAAAGTGGACTGATCTGTTAAACGAGAAGGTTCAGGAGAAGCGAATGGGGCTGGAACATCTATTTTGCTAGGCATCTACAATAAAAAAGTGCGAGCATTATTAAATACTGAACAACAAATTAGACGAGTACAATCAACACCGAAATTGCAGAAAGTTCACCACTGTTAATTAAATATTTATTAACCACGTTTAAGTTCATAGAAGATGTCATAAGCTGACAAGAGAATGAGCAGAGTTGAATGACTAAAGTGGTGACCTACTGCGAACTTTAAGTTGTTATACTATTCAATAGTTCGAAGAAAATAAAAACGATGAATAAACAAAGATAAAAAGTAATTATCATTAAACGTAATAAGATTATGGGGAGGATAATAAACTTCACATTAACGGTGTATATTCGTATCGAAGATTATTTTGAAACAGTGTGTTTTGATATCGCAATGATACCATTTTGGTTATCGTAGTTCAATAAAGATAAAAAAAGAAACAACACATTTGCAAATATAGTAACTGGATATTTTTACTTGAGAACTTACCATTTGTTTAGACTCTATCTTGTCTTTACAAACTTTCGATGCAATTTTATTCCGAGCATTTCTAGTGTTATGTACAACAACAGCTTCTACAGGAAGTGATTCAATTGGTTTATCAACAGGAACACATAATTCACTTTCGTTCACAGAATTTACTGATATTGTTTGATGAATATCAGAGTTTGAATAAGCAGGTAATTTAGTTACTTTATTTAATCGTTGCTTCTTATTGGCTTTGGCACTATGTTTTGAAGAATAATGAGGTCTGTAATTAATGCCTGAATCATTACCAGTTGAACAAACATTGGATACAGATGTATTAACAGTAGATATATTTGTATCACTATTAGCCAAGGAATGTCCACGTTTATAACTTACACCGATTGGACTAAATGTAAGTAAAATGAACATAAAAATCATTTGATGAGATGGATAAGAAAAAAACTAAGAAAAAAACCCATTCGGGTAGTTCATAAAGCAAATCAATTCTTATCATAGTGAAGATTTTATGGGTAATAGAACCTTAAGAAAGAAAGTGTTTTAGTCAATGGGTAGGTTTAATTTCTACAATGGGAAAACCCTACCAATAAATTAAACTCTCAGGTTAGGTATAAGTTAAAATGTCTGGACTATGTACTTTAACGGAAGGATGAAGGCAGTAAACATGTTCAGTAGTTCTAATCCAGTCAGATAAAGTAAAAAACTAGGTTGAATGTTTGATCTAAGATGAGAAAACTAGGTATTTTTATAGTGTGAAATAAAATAATGTTGAGAAAACGATGTGGAAAAAAATCTAATGAACTCTGGAACCTTACAAATCAATTTGCATTCCTTGTCTCAAATACAAGACTTGATTTTTCAATATTTACTTAATATTTGCAATATACATACATTAGAAATACCTTGAGGCATGTACAGTTAAGCAATTACAGTCTTCTTATATATCATCCTCAATCGAGCTCAATATAGTAAAAAGATTACATTATCGCAACATACATGAATCTCGGTAATGCTACAAATGGTTTACTGAGTGATAGATACTAAAGTCAGTTCTTTTTTGGATATTTTAAAAGGATTCTCACCGTGAGCTTTAGTTAACTCTGTAAGAGAAATTGAACTTTTAAGTTAAAACTGGCACTGATGGTGAAGTGGATGATAAGCTTAAGATAGCTGTGGAAAACGTTTAATTTAGATAACACTTCTGTTTTGAATACCATTTTTACCATTCACTATTTTTAAACTGTCGATTCAGCAGTAAGTAAATTTTGATGCAAACAGACTTTTAGGTGTTTCCTCATCACATCATCCTGTTTTTTTAGCGAATTTCAATGCTGCTTTTCACTCAATGTCTCCCTTGATCCAACATTTTATCAAATATAGTTCAAGGGTATATAGTCCTTGCTCTATAAAGAGAACGTTTGACAAACTTATTTTGATATCACAGAAGCAAGACTAAAGGAGAGTGCATTATTTTCTTTAAAATGAAGTCAGTCAGTCAGCTACAACGTAGGACCAGGCATATTTATGCATCGGTCCAAGTTGCTATACCTCGTTAGCACAACAAGATCAACACCGGATTTATAGAAATAGTTAATTTAGTGGTGGTATATAAAAGATAGGTTGTATATAAGAATATAGTATAGGAAGGAAGAAAGCTATGAAGCAATTTTAATCTCAAGGTTTAAGGGAAGATAACGAGCGTATACACCTACGCCATTGTGATCGATTCTGAGCCATGTCACCTAGAGTCTCCAACTATTGGTTACGATAGTCACGCGGACCCCAACCAGGTAGTCTGCATCTGCCAACATGGCTCAGACTAGAAGTTAGTGACTTCAAGCACTGATGCTACGTTTTGGTTTGGCCGCCTCTAACTATCAACCAACAATCCATAATTATTATTTATTTATTTAAACACATAAATATTGGTACAAGGAAGCACCAGATAAATATGCGCCTCACAAATCTCATTCGATTTGTGTGAGGGCTGTGATACTGCCCAGGTGCCCAGACTGAAGTAGGTGGTTTTCTTAGGGGGCCACACCCGTAGCCTTTGACCTAAAGGTATAGTCCACAAGGCAGTGGAGCATCGTAAGGAGATGCAGTCCCATGGTAGCCGGTGACCAACAGTTGGTTCATACGCCATTCGTTCCTTCAGGATACTGGAGCCCATGTGCACCATTAGTTTGGAATCAGGGTTTTCCAACTCCCCTAGGTGAATCCTCCACATCCACCAACCCGGTCAAAGCGCCGGACATTCGCTTTTCGTCCTCTCACTTTTGTGAACAACACCCCCGCCACGAGAAGGCAGTGAGTAGGACTTCCCTGGCAGAGACTATATATTCGCGTGGTCATATGAGAGCATTTCGAGAGGGAGAGCAGACACTCCCCACTCTCGGCCGTACCAGGGCATTTGGGGACACCACCCATAATGCTAGTCAGCAGAGCGCGTCGTGGTAAAATGAAGTATTCTCAATGCTTCTCCTTTATCTAGACTGATACACAGACCAAAGTTGCTTAATAAATATGTGGTTTCTCTCAAAAATACTTGGTAACTAGGTCTAAGTATTAGCACAAACCTGAAATCGACTATCAAGATACCTATTTTACTTTGGACAAAGACTGAACGATATTTATAGCTAATCATAGCTTGACTTCAAGTTATTATGGTGCCAAAACTAGTCAATAAGTTAAGTTTTTTAATAGTTGAGGAACTGAAATGAACATAAAACCATTAGTTTCTTTTGTATGAAAAAAGTTGATAAAAATATCTGTGCAGTTAACTCAGTATCATATACGCATTTCTAAAGACTATAGAAATCAAATCTTACCGTTCTGGATTTTTATCTTCGGATAATTGTTGTCTTGAAGCAGAATAAGCTCTTTTAACTACTACTTGTGGTAACATAATCTCATTTTTAGTTGCATCAGGAATATTATTTTCTGTAACAAAGATGAAGAAAACGATCGCTACATTTTTAGACTAAACAAATACGAATAATGTACCGATGTCTGTACACTGGTTTCCCACTCATGAAAGTTGGGTTTAGAGTTAAAAGTTGACTGTAATTAAAATGTATGCTTTTCTATTAAGTCATAAACCGCTAGCTATGAAAAAACTAGTGATAAATAAAAAGAAATACAATAATACTACACCGGAATATCTCAAAAGTAATATATATTTGGTTGCAACACTAGTCATTATCTTTGAACAATAGGTCTTTTTAGGTTATAGATACCAGTTGATCACAACTATTCACGTACAACTAAAGTAAAAAGTCAATCTGTTCTCATTAAATCCCCGCATGTTTACATGTACTCTTAGGAAACAATTACTATAGAATTTAGAGGATAAGAGATAGGCCACAGAGTTTGGACAAAATAAGTAGGTAAGAGGATTAACATGATGGAGTTGAAATGGGATCTAGGAACTTGAAGAACTGAATAACATCTAAATCTGTTCCGATCACTACGTCTCATCGCAATTCATTTCTTCACATTATTGTTTTGTGGGATAGATTCTCAGATCCAAAGCTTGTAAGTGATCTGCTAAGATTATGTTCTTTGGCCAATAAACCCGATGAGCACTACCATATTGATACAAATTATTAGCATCCAAAAACGAGAGATTAAAAATAACTTGATAAACACTTAAAACCTGACTATACTATTACAGTTTACTTTCTATCTACTGTTTTATTTTTATATGGTATGAACTATTCTTCGTTTTATTTTCATATTTATCATCGCCAGTAGCTTGACGTTTCAGCTGACTACAAAAGGCCAGAAATAAAACGCCCACGGTCCAGGCAACTCAGTTCAGTGTTTGTATAAAATAGCTTTTACGAGCATTGTATACTTAATAGTCCTATTTGATAGTATTGCTTGTATCCTCTAACAACATCATACGGACGATTTCGGGTTTTAGCAATATGGACCGCCTTTCAATCAGAAAAGTCATCTTAAAACACCGGTCTGAGTGATTTAGGAATATTTTATGTAGAACATTGCAACGACTTCCATACAGAGCACTGTTCGAAAATTTTAGTACTTGTAAAAAAAGAGCGGTGATGTAAAGGACAGCTGTATCGGATTGAAATCTTACGCATTTTGACTCTGCAGATGTGATTATAGAGGGAATATTAACAAACTGATTTAATCTATTAAGAATCCAGACTTAAAATCAAAACCAGTGATGACTGTGATGCAGCTGTAATATTGAAATAAGTGAAATCCTATTTTCGTTTCGCTGACATTTGCAATCTTTCCTTAAATATTTTGATAACATTTTTGTTGTGTTATTTCTCCTACTTTTTCACAATACTCTCAAACTATTTGGTGTGGCCCATTTATTGCCACCTCCCATCACAATGGCGCGCACACATACAAAAGCCTTCAGTCACCTAATAACCTCAAGTTTTGTTGTTAATAATAAAAGTAATATCGACGCTTTACATTACAACTCATTTCTAGGCAGAACGGGATTTTCCACTAAAAAAACTGGCTAAGTTGCTAAAAAAAATCCATAAAGGAGGTTGAGAGCAATAGTTTTGATTCCTTACTCACTAAGTGAATGCATCTAGTACATGGTGCATAAAAAACACCATAAGATGAATGAGTAAAGATTCAGTGAACAGCACTGTAACTTATAGAATTGAATTCTAGGTGCTTTACCATACTGAAGTGTTGATGTAGTACAAAATCAATGTAATATCAAATAAAAATTAGAATTTAAAAGCTACTTTAATATTAACCATTTCAAAAGTTCTAGGCAGTGAATTTGTAACATGAGACCTTTACAATATATTTAGACTAAACTACTTCAGTGATAATTGGTCTTAGTTTTGTGTAAGCAAAATCGACCCTAAAAGTTATCAGAACATACCAATAATAGAATTCTGAGAGTCGTTCGCTTTCTCTTGAGAAGTATTCATCGTTAATTTCTTTAATCGACGTGCAACCAATACGAGTGATGTAAATTGTGGATGAACTTGGAAATCACGTGCATGTACGGGAACTGAGCAAATTGGACAGCAACTTGCAGCCTTTGCATTACCTCGACTTGGAATACATGAAGAACATAGCAGATGTTCACATACTCCAGTTGTGAATGGCTGGTGGAGGGTGGAGGTGCAATTATCACATCGCATCAACTCCAACAGTTCAATGATGACACGGTGAGTTTGAGACAAACTAATCATCTAAAATTGTTTCATAAAAATAAGTGTTTAACTAGAGCAAGTGGGAAAAATGCGAGAACTGATCACAGATAATTTAACTTTACTTACGTTGACATGGTGGGCTTTATTTCAGAAAGGCGAATACCAATATACACTTTCATGAATGTACTCGTGAATATGAAATTTTTTTTACATTTTAGAGAACAAAAGACACCTAGCGAGATCAATGATATGTCCAGTACATTACTTTTCCAGGTCAAATCTTGACGGACCTGATGATCTTTCCTAGAATTAGAACCAAAATCACCCAGTGTCACAACCAGAGACGTCATAAAGCTATTCAGACTGTCTGTGGAATTAGGATGCCAATACTACCTAATCAAGTAGTAAAAAAACCCAATCGGAGAAACTCAACCAGGACTAATAAACAGTGTTATCTACTACTTAGTGATTCAGTAGCAAATTGGATAAAGTCCTGATATCAGACTAAAGGTACAAGGACTGAGATCTATTACTAATGGTGGAGTACAAGTACATTATCCCAACAGGCCAAAAGTAGGATAAAGCATGAGTTCAATATATAGCGGTTGATTAATTTATTTAGTCACTTTAGCCCTCAGGCACTATAAGAATGATTTTACATTATAAAAGACGGGTTTGATTTCGCAATAAAGGAAATGTCATCAGTTGTAGAAACTGTGGAGAAACAAAACTTAGGCAATGAACAATAACATTAATCTAATGAGATAAGATTGGCAAAACAAGTAATGCTGTATAGGAATTTCAGTCCGAATGAGCCCCTAGCTCCGAATCAATATCTGTTCTTGATGTACGCTAAAAAGTACAAGACAGTTCAAAACTCAGACAAGCGCATAAAGCATACAGAACGGGATAGATATACATTAACGTTTTTACTTGTAGGATTAACGTTCCTTAAAGTTCAGAGGTCAAAACGTAATTCTCATTCGTCAAGCTACTAAGTTCTTATTGTCAGTGACACCAGAATATGATACCACATTTACAGACGGGCGGAATTGCACTTGATGTTCAATCGGTTTCAATTACGTCAGAAGGAAATGGTGTATTTAGTACCACCTACATTTCGACCAGTGTCAGCTCCCTAAAACTTAAAACACCTACGAAGTACATAGTGAAGTTAACGACTGGCTTTTAATTCCGGTAAGCAAAAAAATATGGAGATAAGGGTGAACTCGGAAGAAACAAAAGCTATATTTTATGGAGAATTTCGGCGTGAATTCATGGTAGACATGACGCTTCGGATTTTCATTTTGTACCTCATTTGGAGTTGTGTATGATACAAATAAATAATAGTGTATAGCGAATATGCTGAAGCTGGGCAAGCTCAGCGTTTTGCAGAGATACTGACTTTACTTCATTTAAGCCGGACAGTGTAGTAATAGTTCAAGGCTAACCTAGCTAATTACTGGTATAAATGGTAAATGATTAAATTTAACCCCTCAACCCTTGATTTTTTTCACTGATATCAATATGTATTCACTTGCCACTAATAATAACATACGGATTTCAATCAGTATCTCCTATAGATTTATATTCCCTAACTGTATAAATAATGTAGAACTAGTTCAGGTACTATGTATATTTTTGTCAATAAATTTCTGATTTCCTTGTTATCGATGTTAGGACTTTGAGATTCAGAAACTAACTTATTTTTAGGTCCAGCCTACAAAAAGAGTTTCCGATTGTCTAAACTAAGAGCAGGTAGTCTTGTGTGGACTCATTTGATGGCAACTTGAGTGAGAGTAGACTATTTTACGAATATTCAGGTTCAAATAGGGGTATAAATTTTGAGACATTCCTCTTCACGAAAACGTTACGGGGAAACCTCCACTACTTTTTGTATGTTAAGAGGTCTTTTGGTGCATCTCCCCTGGATTCACACCGAAATTACGTACACAATTTTGCTTTCATTTCCTCCTTTTGTTTTTCTATAAAGATGTTTTGATATGAGATGCTACAAAAACAAGTAAGTTGGTATCCATGTATTGCCGGTTGTATACTGCAACTGGGAGAGAGCGATATGAATATACGTAAGCTTAATTACCTACTCAATTCAAACGAGCAAATGCTTTAACGATAAACATTGGTCAATTACCTCGAAACCAAACTTGCCTCTCTGGTCGATCGTAAATTAAACGTGATCATTTAAAACTCGGAATTTGAAAAAAAAAGTGGGTGAATTATTTTACGTTTAGAAATATTTGCCACCTGTCATGCTTTTCCTACCAAAAACTTGAACTTTAACTGATACTTAACGCTTTAAATGATATTTGGGTTTGTGAAATACCTTTACACTTGTTTGTTACTTCACCTTTATCTAGTTGAAGTATTTTATTGGGGCTTACATGTTTGTCACATCTGCCATTTTCCCGTTCTTTCCTAAAATTCGCTTACTTCATCTGTCTGACGCCTTATTGCTTTAATTATCACTAGTTCAATGTACTACTTCAGTGCATATTTATAAAATCTTTGGTAATGTTATCATTTTCTCTTTTTATTCACATCATACTGGCTGAAATCTTCGTTCGAAATCATCGATGCGGCCGACTATTGTGTCTCTTTCCTGTTGAAGATTCCAAGCGGTGTGACAACAGTAAGAAATGGTTTACTAAGTGTGTACCATACTATCACCGATCGTGTATTGACGTCGCTGTACGCCGTCATCACTATGGTTTTTTTAAAGAATTCTTACTGACAAGCCTAGACGAATTTCTTATATGAAGTTTTGGAGCTTCTTAATTTAATGAAGAAGTTAGAATGTCATATATCGTTATACATTGTTAGAGGGCAAAACTCTCTCACAAGACAAATTGGATATTATAAATGAGTGGATTGGTTCAAAGGTCAAAACGAGGAGAAAAATTGAAGAGAATATTCTGGTAGTTAGTAGAAGAGGATGATAACAACACAATGGAAAGTCTTAGTCGAAATCATTTCTAACTCAATTCGAAATGCAGGTGAGTCGGAAATCAACGAGCCTGTTAAGCCGCATGCACATGACCTATAGTGAGAGGGATCTGCCATCGAAAAATTATTGACAGAAACGTGTGTGAGGGCACATAGTACTCAGATAATGAAAATTGGTTAGTAGGTTGAAGGTGAAACGTGAACAAAGCGGATAATAAGGCCAGTACTCGAAAGTAATGAGAACTTGGACATTTCTGTAAGTAATACATAAGAAATCCGTAACGCAACTAATCGTTCTCAGCCAGATTGACTTTTTAATGTTCAAATTAAGTGGAAAGACATTCCAACTGAGTTGAATTTCCGAAACATGATTAAACGAACCTTTAGATTAATGGTTTTCCGACAGCGAGTTTATAGGACTTATAGAATTAAGGTCTGTTTCGGCACCAGTACATTTACCTTCGCTACCATGATAATATACCTAATCTCAAAATTGTAGATACGTCATGATGTGACTACCTAATCTATGGGGTCTTACGTGGAAGTTACATCATTGTCCATACTGACTCACCCGACGTGACGGCCATCAACATGACGTCTAGCACTTCTGAAGAACACATTTGGGCTAACTGGGCTACTGTCCATCACCAAAAGTACACTTAGGGATTTGTTTTTGTAATTTGAGAGTAAATTCTCCTACCTTCTGTTTGTTCTGACAAACTATTCTACATCACTCTAAAATTGAAAGAAATCTGATGCAGCAGTCCTTCTAATAGCACTCTCAAGGATTATAAATTGTCTAGACTATAATGAACCAAGTGGCTGTCTTGTAACATACAATGAATAGGTTGTGGAAGTTATGATGATGTTTAGTATTTATGTTATTAAACCACATAAGTCAATTTCGGCTAATATTTATCACAGTCTTACTTCATATACGGTTGAATATTTAACTGAATGCTTAAATAATACACACTGTTTGTCCAACTTTTTGATCGAATATATATGTATATATTTACTATCTGCCTAAAACAGTAAGCTTTGTGGGTGTGTTTGCTTAAATAATCTGTTGTAACTACACAGAACATAACATTCTCTAAATCTTCGTAGTTGATTTTCGAATTTATACTGACTGACGAAAGGTTGCTAGAGAAATTAAGTGCTGCGTAAGAATTTCGGAAGATAGATAGTGGGGATCAGATCGACCATCCTAAATGCCAGCAGCCTCTTATGTTTGAATTCCTCTATATTTCAGCACTGCGGTTACAGGAAGAAACACTTGTAGATTGAAAATCTCCAAACCACCATTACAAGTTGTTAAAAAGAAGTTGGTGAAATCTCTTTCTATATATATACATATATATATATATGCTGCCCCTCGATTTCTCTTTTTTCTTTTCTTCGGAATCTTGCTCTGAGGGCAAAGTTGAAGAACTTCTGACATCTGAAGCAAACTCGACGTACGCGCTTCTCCAAGGTCATAGTTCACACCAAGCTCTCCACAAGTCCACTTTATAACAACTATAAACTTAAAAAGCCGTGTTGCGTAAATAGTTAGCACGACCAAAATCCTAACACAAATTTGCCGAGATTGGAATGGTGTGTTACGTGGATGCGATTCCCATTTGGAAAATATTTCGAAGACTACATAGTACATCTGAACGAATGAGCTGATATTCACTTCTATAGGTTATATTTACTAACCAACCATGCTTGGGATGCATACTGTGAACCAGCAAATGTTCTAAATTGTAGATCATGCCTGCAACAATGACATCCACCTGCCATTGCAGAAATATATTGTATTATTATTACATTATCTCGAATTTTCAAAAATATGTGATCAAGTCGGTTTTAGGACCTTTTGGCTTTCTGATCCACATAAGAGACTTTTAGCGACAGGTATGTTTCAAAGTACTCCTTCTGCAAGTGATATGAATGTTCGTAGCAAAGTTCATAACCAGAAGTGTAGTTTACCACCGCGTTAGAATTTGACTCGAATTCGAAGTCAGTAGGATAGCAACAGAAAAAGTTTTAGCTTTGAAAACCGTAAAGCAGTTCATCTACAACATGATGTAAGCAACATGTAAAAACCAAGGTGAATCTTCACCTTGTTGAAAAAGATTCAGATCTGAAATTATATGCAAACTGTGACAGAATGCCTTGAGAATTGAACTTGTACTCGTAACTGGAGTTTTATTTTGCTCCGTTTCACAAAGGGTCAAGAAATTGTCTAGTGGTTTTTTTAGTTCAAATTCTACGATGGATTTGAGAAAATACTGGACTTATACCTCTGGGAAAGTAGGAGCCACGGAACCAAACCCATAATGACCAACAGCTTAGAAAGCTCAGGGAGTTTTCGAAGCAGTTAAGCTCATTTTTATGCACATCTTACATATAATTGTCTAAGGTTAACAGTGTAGCGTAGCAAGTTTAAGTATGGGGGTCATTTCTATTCCTTATACATTTTCGATATCAGATATTCCCCAAATACCGAAGTAGCACATAAAATTCGCGGAGACACATGGAAATGACTTAAAAAGCATGTCATTCCACGAATCCCTAAACAGTCCACAGAAACATAGCTAGGGTTTTGTGAAAAAATTGGTATACTTTAGAAGACAAAAATGACATCTCATATTCTTTACTGACAGTCTTCTTACTTCCATTCGTTTCCATATGTGGACATGTTCCGTCTATTGTCACTAGTTCACATCTTGATTTGATTTTACTTCCACCTGCCTCATATTTGCAACGGCTATGTGCTTCTGATGTCCCCAAATGTATGCGAAAGTAATAATTAACACATGGTATCATGGAAATCACAGCTTCCAAGATTTTGTAGCAGCATTAGTCCCCAACAACAGTGTCCTCGAAGCTAAACACTTATTAAGTGACAAGACTTTCATTAGTAGTTGAACCTTTGGAAAAGGTCAGATAGTGTGAACACTGGACAAATGCACTCAGATAAGTTCATTAATACTACTCAATACATGCGTAACCGTACGATTCTGGAACCTGGACATGAGATAACTGAGAAAATTTACATTCAACATTTTACATGCAGCAAAGGTCAGTAAAGGTGAACGCTATGGAAATTGATCGAAATGTCATGGCTCAACAATGCACGTGTGGTCACTATATGTACCCTCTTGCACTTCGTATTGGATGTATTAACCTCTTACTAGCCCAAATGTGTTCTTCAGAAGTGCTAGACGTCATGTTGATGGCCGTCACGTCGGGTGAGTCAGTATGGACAATGATGTAACTTCCACGTAAGACCCCATAGATTAGGTAGTCACATCATGACGTATCTACAATTTTGAGATTAGGTATATTATCATGGTAGCGAAGGTAAATGTACTGGTGCCGAAACAGACCTTAATTCTATAAGTCCTATAAACTCGCTGTCGGAAAACCATTAATCTAAAGGTTCGTTTAATCATGTTTCGGAAATTCAACTCAGTTGGAATGTCTTTCCACTTAATTTGAACATTAAAAAGTCAATCTGGCTGAGAACGATTAGTTGCGTTACGGATTTCTTATGTATTACTTACAGAAATGTCCAAGTTCTCATTACAACAGGACATGTCCTGCTGCGTGATTGATTGATTGTAGGAACGAACAGACAAACTCTGTAGAGAAAACTTATGCAACTGCCGAAGCGTTCCTCTCAATTTGCTAGAGCTTCATGTACTAATTATGAGGCAGTGCATGAAACTGACTTCCAGGATATGAAGGATTTCACCTTATTGCCAAGTCATCGTAATCTGACTCATACTCAAGGTCATACAGACAAGAGTTTAATCAGCGGTAGTCTCCGTTCATTGGAAAGCGTGGGACAAAAACTGAATTAAGAACCCAGAGCAGTGAACAAAGGTGAGCACAAGCTTTGTAAGTACTTGTAATTTTGTAAAGTTCATTTACGTAATCAATGTGCATTTTGCCACACCATCTCCTTCAAGTGTGGTAAGATGGAACACATCTAGTTAACTTGTGAAATTACTGTTCCTTTTTTCACTAGGAATGACGAACCCCGTGGTTCGAGTTTTAATAAGCTGAGTGTTTCTGGTGATCACTTATTTCAATCCATGATTTTGAAGAGTAATTTCCATATTCAAAAGCGACTACACACCTCCCTTGATTCAATGCATGACTTCAATACACAGTGAGTTATTTCATTGGAGAACTTTGAATCTTCAGATTCTAATGTTATGGTACGACGCATTG